GAAGCATCCCCCTATGCGACCTCACCAGCTCGTCTGTTGGGGATATCCTTGCAGCTAATGCTCTGTGAGCCCCCTGCAGGCTGCACAAGCTACGCCAGCCAAGCCAATCATGGTGACCTATGAGATGTTGCACTGCTATTACCCTTAGTTGACTTCTCTCTAAGAACGCATTGAACATGCCACCTCAAAGACCAAATGCATCCAAAAATGCAAATTCTATGCAGCAAAAGACTCATTCAAGTTCTTAGTTCTTCCTAGGAGGTTTAAGTAACTAGCCGCAATTCCTGGGATGAGGACTCAAAGGTGGCCGAATTTCGGAGAAACATGGAAGAACTGTCTGGAGAACGTTGCGGCATCAGCTTCAAAAAACTCCAGCAATGAGGCACAAACACCTTCCAGGATTCCAGGATGTCTCAGGATTCATCCTTCACTTATTCCTTCCTTTTGGGCCATCTAGAGGTGATAGCATCACGTGGCTGTCGGCATTCACCATTCTCAGCACGAAGCGCCACCGGCACCGTCTCAGGCGACGCCGTCACCGTCACCGATGCCGTCCTCGCCGTCCTCAGCCTTCTTCTGCCTTCGGCGGAAGCGACTTCGCACGGCACCTGGGGCGAAGCGGCTGGCGCGGTGGCGCAGTCATTGAGAAGTCCGGTGTTTCTGTCTGGAGTCCGGTCGTGAATCGGTGAGGCTCACCACCACCCTTTCCATTGCCAAGCTCTTTCAGCCCTTGATGCCTCAAAGCCTCAACCGAATCGATTCTGAAAGCTTTCCTCACACCTTCCTCCCTGAAAAAAAATGACTTCCTGCCAAGAGGCTTGCAGCCATCATATCGCTGAACCTGAGCTCATGCAGGGCTGGCAAGCAGGTTGGGTCGGCCTGTCAACAGGAGTTCAAGCACAACAGTCAACGGATTTTAAGTTGTGCCCTAGGCCGCTCCCCTATTTGGCCATAACTATATATGGACTGTATAGTTTGGAGGGGTCAAGGGTACTAGTTTCTGTTCGGGCAGTTCATAGCTTCAAAGGTTTTTCCCCAAACAGTTTACTGTTGGGGGTTCTATCTTGGAAAAAAAGAGCTGGCCACACTCACTGGCTGCGCCCCTGAACTCTGTGGCTCCTCTTGTCCTCTGTGGCTGGGCTCTGTGCCCAGGCCTTGTCCTCCTCTTGTCCTCTATGGCTGGGCCTTGTCCTCTTCTTGTCCTCCTCTTGTCCTTGTCTTGGCCGCGCCCCTGAACTCTGTGGCTGGTCTCTGTGGCCCGGTTTACTGGAGAGGAGTGTGGTCGAACAAATAGTGATGTCAATGCCGCCAAAAATTCATTGTTGAAGCAGTTTGCTCTTAGGGTGAAGGTAGGCGTACCAAGAAATCGATTTTTGACTAATATCTTGGTCTAAACGAATCGTTTTGAAGCTGTTTGGGGTCTATGCTGTCTTCCTGCGCTTCGCACATCTTTGCACGGTCCAAACTCGGCTGAGCTTTGTCAGCGGTCGGATGGGCAGATCAGGCATACGAGGGTTGTTTGGGGTGTTTAGGTCGCTGGACGAAACTCCCAGGTCTTGTGGAGCTCTTGCAATGGCACAACGAAGCTTTCTACCCCGTGATGGGAGCCATCGGCAACAATGTCGTCATGCTCAATGATATTAACAGCCCTCCAACCAACACCCTGGATGCACACAGAAGGCTCCGCCTGCTCTCCAAAAACTTGAACTTCCCAGGGTGCTCCGCCCTCACTGCTCTCTAAGAATCCACCTAAACCTCCAGAATCCTCTTTGACGATGTCAGGTGAACATCCCACCATCTTGGTATCAGAGCCCAAGCTGTCGGCATTTGTCACCCAGCTATGCTTCATTGAGAAGCGGCCTTGTCCATCCTTTCGCAGCAAAAGGATCTCTTCCTTGTAGTCATGGATCTCATCACCATCAGTGGGGTCCTTCGGTTTTGCTCCAGTTCTCCGTGTCCAGCACCCCGGCAAGCGTTGGCGGAGCAGCTGCACCGAAACCTCCTCGCCAGAAGGCAACTGCTCCTGGCTGGCCAAGGCTTGATCACCACAGAGGATGATGTTGATGTGACTCTGATCTTCCTCAAGCTCCTTAAGGAGATCAGCCACCCGGGAACCACCAGCAAGAACTTTGGTCGAATGAAGCTCTCCAGTTGCAGCCAAGTACACCGCTACACGTTGGGTGCTCGACATGCTCGCTTCAATGCAAGAAGGCTTGGCTGTTTGTATCTCATAATTTTACACTGAATGTCTAAATGTCAGATGTGCTTCAATACCTCGATGGAAGCCAAATGTGGAATTTCTGCATGTATATTTAGCTACCATCCGCGACTGATTGTATGGCAGGAATTTGCGGCTGGGTTGGGGCAGCGCATGGCTTCAAATCACTTGAAACGAGGACACACCTTCTCAGACCAATACTGTCTAAAGTTAAGTTTCTTGGAGGATTTGATAAACACCCCCCATACAGTTTATGTGAACCAGTGAAGCTTAGCACGCACCTAATCACATAGTGCCTGAACACCTGTACTGATGCACTGGGTTTTAATATTTATATACTTGTTTGTATGCATTCGTCCTCCCATTGTTGACTCAACACCTTCAACACTTGGCCAACAACCCCAACACAATCCTCCTCACCATCCAAGCCACTTCAAGGCCTCAGCCTTCGGTGCCGCCTCTGGCGTCCTTGCTGGCTCCGTCTTGGACGGAGCGCCCACGTCGTCCTCCTTGGGCGCGAAGCCCAGCAGCACGGCATCCGAGGCTTCTGCGGTGAGCTCCTGCGGAGTGGGCTGAAGGCTCATGAGTTCGGCACTGAAGAACATCGCCTTCTTGAGAGAAAGGACATCTTGCGCCAAAAGGGATGCCTTACGCCAAAGCAGGTGACGAATTACTTACAGAATCGTTCAGTGTCTAGGTGTCTATGTGCTAAACATCTTCACATATCTTCACCATGCTTTGGCGTGCTTGTCTGTCTCTTACCCTCCTTGATCCTCGCCATCATCTTGAAAAGCCCCGCCAGCCTTGTTGGGTCAGTCTGGCTTCAACGTGGACCCATTCGAGCTCAGGGCCGGCGAGTCCGCCAATCACAATTGCTCCACAGAAACGTTGAAACCAAACTTGCGTGAAACTCCTCAGACTAGCATGAAGCTGTACACGAAGCATCCAAGTTGCTGGGTGAGGACACCCTGAACAAAAGGTCAGTCATTCTCATGATTCTTAGAAAAGTCTTCAGTCTTGAGGGGGTTTCTTTTGTCAGTCAGCACGCCCTATGGTTGTGCTGGTGCTTGGTGAGCTTCTTAACTCATGCTGCTGTGCGGGTCTTTTTGGAATGTAACTGAATGTAACTACCACTGGGTACTGCAGTCCGAGTGGGCCAATGAAGAGAACCCTTAAAAATCGACCGACACTGACCAACTGCATAAATTACATTTGCAATTAATTGCAGGTTAATTTTGAGGTTTGTATTTTAAAGAAGGCTAGTTGCGAGGCACCAGGGAGGCACCAGGGAGGCAGGAAGAGAGGTCTCCAAAATATTGTTTTGGAAGGACAATCAGTGTTTGTTTTAGCATTCTTCAGCCCACTGGTTGAGACGTCTATACAATGCAGTCATCTCCGAACCCACAGATGCATTCATAGAAACATGTTACGAAGAGTTCCATTCAGTCTGACGCTCTCAGCCAACGCAAGCAACAACACTGAAAAACACTGGTTGTAGAAGAAAGCAGTCCTTCCAAAGGTCCATTTTCAGGTTCCATGTTAATCTTCCTGGTGGAGGCCATCGCTACTAGGAGGCCATCACTACTAGGGTGGAGGGCCATGGCTCCTAGGTGGAGGCCATCCCTACTAGGGTGGAGGCCATCGCTACTAGGGTGGAGGCCATCCCTACTAGGCTGGAGGGCCATCCCTACTAGGCTGGAGGGCCATCGCTACTAGGGTGGAGGCCATCGCTACTAGGGTGCGGCTTCCTCCCTGCCCCACCCCGCAGCCCAGGGGCGCGTCTCCGCCGCTCTCTGTCGGAAGTTTGCCTCGCCAACTTCCGGTGATGCCAGTGGTGGTTGGGATGGTTCACCGTTTGTGGGGGGCGGGTGAGGGTCGACAGCAGGTTGAACGGCTTGCGCAACAAACCAAATGGCTTTCTGGGTTAGGTGGATTGTCCCATGATCTGCATGCCTAGACCCCGACATCGGGATTTTGGACGGGTTGACCTCATGCCTCATCACAAGTTATAAATCCTATCTCAATCCACCCTGGGTTGGATGTTTCACAAACACCCACCAGCGGTCAGCAAAGTGTGGTCTCTTTTCGTGATTGCCCCGCCGCCCGCCTTTGAGTTCTTCGATCTGTTTCTGTAACGCATCGATGGCCTGGCGTTTTTTTGCAGCGGCGCGATGCGAGACTGTGGCGACCAAAGAGTCCCAGGGGCAGGACCAACGATCTGATCTGAACTGGATCCATTCCGGAAGTGGGTCATCCTGTGTACTCAAAGAAATGTTGCTAACATTTCATCCGACCAATTCGTCCCACATCGCTTTTGGGGTGGGAACAGGGTCCTTCATTTTCATCCTGTGATGGTATTGCTTGACGAAGCGCGCCTAGAAGTATTGCACCTTGAGAGTGCAAACAGCCCACCTGGTCACCACAGCATTAGCTACCTAAGCTAGTCGCAACCGAGTTGCGCTCCGTCAATCTCCCCTGGCACACACCTCCGGTCACACCCCGCCACTGGCAGATTTGCCTAGTCTGTTTTTATGTCTTCATGATCCATGCAGAACTCCGCAAGGACCCAGGAAAAGGCCCCGCATGCTCGCACCACGTGTGTCGTCCTTTTTTTTTGTGTCTTCTCCCGCTCAAAGGAGCTCGAAGGCCGCAGCCTGCAGCATATGAACCTGACCAGAGTGGCGAGGGGAGCAAACATGTCTTGTGCATGGCGTTGGGTGTTTGAACACCAGACATGTCTCACATGTGGATGCACGCTTGAAAGCTTGAGAAGAGGACAACTATCAGTAACATCCATCAAATTCAGAAGGCCAGTTCAACAAACCTGTGCTTACTTACTTCCATCTTTCAGGTGGCCGCCTAGCCTGGGTACCACAACTGAGAACATACCACTTCACCTTCACCTTGAATGATATGTAGATAAAACTGGTCTTCTAACCTCGAGTTGTCATCCATTCCATGGTGAAGGACCTTGCAAATCCAGCCCTTCCAGCTAGATCCAGGCCTTGGGCCCCCAGAAGGCGGCCCCACAAACGCACCCTCACTAGCATCCCCCCTCTGACAGACGCCTCAGACAGGCCGTCCTCCAGGTTGCGCAGAGAACATGCTCTGGCAGCACGGTTTGTAAGAGGAAATGCAATGAACATACTCTTCCAGGCTTTTGTTGATATACATCCATTCTCTAGCTGGTGAATGGGTATCCATCCATGAAAAAGGAGCACGCCGTTTCCCTCGTCTTTTGCATCACTCCTTCCGGAAAAGCTCGGCAAAGCGGTCCGTCGAGGTGAGAAAGAACCATGGTGCGTGCCTTACCGTCACAGTCAGGACCAAGGGCGTTGAAAGGCTTAAAGAATTGGCCAAAGCAAGGCGTGAGAAAGTCTCATCCACGGCATGGATTTTAAAACCCATCCGAACGACTTGCTCACGAGTTCCGGGTTGCAACACGCGAAGCTTCCAAGGATGTGTCTGCAGAAATTCGTAGAAAGCTCGCAATTCTTGCTGTTCGAAGTAAGGGAAGTTCACCAGCTCGTCGAAGACCAGGATGCTTCCTCCAGGGTAAGGCTCAAGTTGCCAAAGAAAGTGGGCTTCGAATTTGAGCTTCTTGGAACCTTTCACCAATTGAACGAATCTAACAGAGTTATAAATACGTTATCTTCCCGCCGCTATAAGTTGCCGCCGTTCTTCTCCATCTTGTCTTTACAACATCCATCTATTTGTGCTGCAACCAGTTCCATCTTGTGTGCGCCTACTTCCTGTCATGTAGTCTACCAGTACACCTGCCTGCTCGCAGGAAGGGGGCCAAGCCAAATAAGACCTCCACGGCAGATTCGTAGAGGTCACAATCCTCAGGAGTGGACAAAAGCACGTCCTGCTTGCATTGTGTGGTCAAACTACTATGACATGGTGTCAGGGGACAGATTGCTCCATTGGACTGTGGGTGATCGGGTGACGCAGCCAACGGCAGCTATCGTTTGATTGCTCCACACAGCCGAACACGCAGCTATCGAGACTGAACACCGAACATTGCCGAACATGACATGGCTCCAGGATTTCACAGCATCTGCCAACCACCATCATGTATAGGTAAAAACACCATGTTGCATTCTTTTGTGGGAGGTCTTCCAGGCTGCACTGATGCACCAACCGTTTCCTTCATCCTGTCCAGCATCGATGTGCAGTAAGCGGATAGTTGCCCCACCAGCAGCCTCCAAGCCAGCGCGGAAGGCTGGGATCGTCTCATTGAACCAGCCAGGCACCAACCTGAAGCACCGGAAACGGAATTTCTGTGTGGGCATCTGATGCAAACATGGGTCTAACTGGTTATGTTGTATGATATAGTTGTACGCATCTATCCATCCATCCATCTATATATTTACATACACCTCTACTCTACACCCTACACAAACTCTGAAGCTGTTACCTGAGCTTGTTGCTGTGCTCAGAAGGGAAGTTTCTGGATGCAAGCCTTGAATGTTTAATCTGGCGGGGTTAAAAAGAGCCCTGAGGGACTCCAAGACCTTGATGGACCGCACGTCGAGTTTTGACGTCCAGTATCCGATCAGCTGGTGTGATCAGGGTCAACCACGTTTCCACCGAATCACTCATGCCCATCAAATGCAACCCCGGTCCCCCAAAAGAAACAATGGCCAGCTGTGAACGCAAACCCATCCCAAATCTGAACTAATGGCTTCCGGCCTGACGTTGTCCTCCACCTCAGGCAGCTGGTCCAAAGCAAAGCTATTCCTTCCAGGAGCCGAGAATAGACATCGAGAAGTCGTTGGTCATGAGAAATGGACCAGGCTACAAACTCCTGCTAAAATGTCCTGCCCCCATTTCAGGTTCCCTCCCTTTTCAGAATGGGGTGGTAGTTGGAACTTCACCTGGCAAACCCCAAAGACATGCCAAACAGCACACATATAGGCCTCGAAGGTGCTACAATTTTTTGGTAGGCTACCCACACCTGTCATACCTACATTCTTGAACTGCCATATCCCGGCCCTGCTTTTTGAACACCAATTCATGAACCATGAGTTAAGGTGAGTCAAACAAGAATCATAGATAGATAGGGTTCAAAAGTGGTATGGCCCCGTAGCCCCTCCTTCAGCCCATTCCCAGGCTCCTACCAAAGCTCAGGGCCCCAGGGATCTCAGAGCCATCACGCCAAGCCTCGGGCTCTGCGGGACAACCCCTGCGGAGAGTAGCACCTGCATTCCTGCATGTTTCAAGCCACTCGCTTCCCAAAAAGAAACGCAGCTTCAAACTTCTGGCGGAACGTAGAACGTTCACACACGTAAAAATTGAGATCCCAGGCTCTGTTGGCAACCCGCGGAAGGAGTCGAAGCCATGGACCACCCGAGGACTCCTCGCCGCAGAATAAGGCAAAGCTCGCAGGTGGCGAGCGATGAAGTTGAGACCTCGGTATCTCACGGTGCTCTTTCCACCGATCAGAAAGGTCTTCGAAAGTGGTAGAACATGAGGGTTGAGCATGGTTGAACATGAGGTTCACCTGCACATGACCATTGGAGAACAAGCCTAATCGAACCTCGAATCCATATTGGAAGGTGAAACATGCTGGTTTGAAGCTTGGTACTCTGTCTATGGAATCCTATGGTCCTATGCATATCTTTTCGGGAGAAGCCTGTACCCAGTCATGTACACTGGTACTGCCCTGACAATGGTGGGTCGGGACTTTAATTGGGATTGGTTTTTCTTTAAAATACTTGTGTTTTGTTTTTTTGACGTTTTTTGGTGTTTTTTTTGGTGGTCTGTGTGGTTCTCAAGGGGAAAGGCATTAGAGATCTTGTCTACAAGAGTCATCAAAAGCGAAGAATGCAATAGAAAACTCATCAAACGGGAGATTTCAATGTAGAAGTCAGAGAACAATAACGATTTTACTAGAAAACCCGTTGAGATGTAAAAATAAAGTAATCCGACATCGATACAAAAGCCAAAACCGCCACACCACAAAAGCCAGAAGCCACAAAAGCCACAGAAGACAAAAGCCACCAAAGCCAGAAGCCACAAAAGCCCCAGAAGCCAGAAAGCCACCAAGGCCACCTAACCACCAAAAACACAACGATTCCATCTAAAAAATCCCTTAAAATCACCCTCCTGACATGGCACCACGCTGATGAATTGCAAGTGGTCTCTGACGCCCAGCTAATTTGGATGCCTTTTTGAGCTCCCCAGCTCGGGATGCGAAGAAAGGAGTCTCGCAAGAACGTTCCTGAGGCACCTTTTGAGTGTTGAGATATATCAAAACCACATACCCCCTGTTAATTTTCACTGCTCCAGACTTCATGAGTTTCTCAAGAACGCAAGCAACACTTGATGGGTGAACTCCGGCGATGGTGTCAAATAGTGACCCCAGTCGTAAAACCTGCGCCCGATTGCGCCCGCTTGGCGTTTTAGGGGAAATTGGACACTGAACTGTGGAACCTCCTGCAACGAAGTTTCTCCGAGTGGCTTTCACCCTGGTAAACACCAAATTCCAAGTACAACTCTGCCTGTGCGGGACGGGGACGGGTTCACTATGATGGGAAGTGCATAGTGAATGGCCCAAACACGAGCCCTGTCAGTGCAACAATGTGTTCAACGATGCACCGCCTCCATTGGTATCTGTCTCTCTACCAAACTATGGGAAATGTCATTCAGAAACCTGAAAAAGAAAACCATAGTGACAAATCACCAATTTCACCTAAGAACATCGACTCCATTCGCTTCATTCGCGAACAGCTCGCGCGAACAGCTCGACGACGCGCAAGCGCCTCCTGAGTCCGGTGACGCGCGGAAATCTGCAGCTCATGCATCACCAGCTTCAGCATGTAGGGATCGATGCCCGAACTCCAAGGCATCTGAAGAGTGGGCGATCTCCTCGACTGTGGCGACTGTGGCTCATGAGGCAGAAGATGCCACGCCCGACCGAACATGAAGCGAATAGACTACCAGGGAGGTCTCAAAGCAGTAATTGACTGCATGGCAAATCCCCTAAGCATCCGAACCCTGCAATACCATGCATGCTTGCTCGATGTGGAGATCAAGAGGCTCTATGAGGTTCCTAGGGTCCTAGGGCCCTTCCTTCGGCTCAGCTCTGGCTCACTGGTGGCGATCAGCCCTGATCCTTGTCTTTGGATGTCTTTCAACGTGTCTATCTTCCAAGCGAGGATCCTCAAAGCATCGCCCAGTTCGGCCCAAAAGGCCTCACGCGCGGCTCCAGGACCAGCGGAGGGGTCCGGAGAACGGCCCGCCGATGCTCCGCGTTCCGAACGCGGAGCATCGGAGTTCGGTTGGACCGAGCGTCCCCGGCACCACTCGACCAGAATTGGATGTGGGGAGGTCGGTGCGAAGGGCGCGATGGGGATGTGGGGGCCTAGCGGCCTACATCCAAACTGAAGCAGCACTCCCACGAGCTCTGGGTCTGCAAGAGAGCTGTCTCGAAGAATGGTCAGCATGGTCACATCCGAAAACCTCAATGAAAAGCACATGCCTGAGATTTTGGAAGGGGCTGAGGCGCGGACACAGAAATCCAGCCGTTCATGCGGCTGTGGGTCAGACTTTTCGATGGACCAGCTGTCAACTGGAAAAGGAACGGAATGGTTTGCATTTGACTCATAGCCTACGTCGCCATCAACCACATCCCTTTTCCATGAGGTTCTCGGAAGAGGAATCCTCAGCATGAGTCTGACTTGTTGAATGACATTGGCCTAACAGTGACCTGTTGGGTTTGGGTGCCCTTTCCGAGGTTCCTTATACCTCCACGACAACAAAACATCGCAAAATCCAGGGACTTTGCTCATGTAGTAACAGGTGCCACGCTACTAGGAACAGGTGCCTTACTAGTAGTAACAAGAAGCTATTAGGAACAAGTGCATCGCTACTAGTAACAAGTGCCTTACTAGTAGTAACAAAAAGCTATCAGACATTTTAACTTAATTCCAATAGCTTTTTGTTACTAGTAGTAAGGCACTTGTTACTACTAGCGAGGCACTTGTTACTAGTAGTAACAAGAAGAAATTAGACTTACATTTAATTATGTAGTAAGGCGGTGTGCCATCGAGACGCAGTGACCACATCGGATTGAAACCATTGGCCGCACAGAACCCCCCTGGCAGCCAGCCCAGTCGAATTCCTCCCCCCGCAATTCCCTAACACTTGGCACCCTGTACATGAACAACCACCAAACAACTTTGTTAGAAAGGCCTCGTGGGAAACTGCTCAGGCTTTGGGCTCTTCATAAACTCCGTTTCGCCTTTTGAACCTCAGATATGTTCTTTTCAACATTCAATAGGTTTGGATATGTTTGGTATGGTTATATAGGTTTGGATAGGTGTGGTTTAATAGCTAGCCTTTGGTTTGGCTCTTTTCATCTCAATTCCAAAGGCTAGCGGCTCGCGCCTCAAAACTCTGCTCCTTCGTCTCCAGCCAAGACCAGCCAGGAGAGCTTGAACCGTGCTCGCAACCCAGGAGCTGTGCAAGACTAGCCTCAGAGTTCGTGGCAAAACGTGATCAAAACGTCAGACCTGAACAGAGGTACTACATCCACTCACTTAAGTGACCACCTGCTTAGCAGGTGGGCACACTCCGGCGCCTGTCTCCACTTCAGCGCCAGCAACGCAATCTGTGCCATCTCCTCCAGCCCGAGCAGCTTCGACAGCTGGGAGCACAAGCGCCCCGTGAGCTCCGCGAGCTCGACCGGTGCGGAACGTGTGGCGGCATTCGCCCAGGTGTGCCAGGAGACAGTCAAGGCCAGTGCTTTGGCCCAGTGGGAAGTGCTTGGTGGTCTTGAAAGAGCACGGAGGCCGTAAGGGAAGCCATCCTGAGAGAGTTTTTCTTTGCAGGTGGGAGGGGCATGTTGAAATTCATGTCAGGAGCTGGTCCAAACCAACCTTCCTCCAGAAAGGGACATGCTGGAGCTGATTACTGAGCTGATTATATCGGACCAAAAGTCTGAATATTCATGGGTCAACTCAAGGACTGGAGATTCTTGAGGACTGGAATGCCAGAATGCCTCAGGCTTCCAAGACCATACCAAAAATTGTCCTCATGGACCACCTGGTGACGATCAAAATTGACCAAACATAAACACTGACAGACACTTTGATCAGTCTTGCTGTCAGTCTGTTGAATCCTGCAATCGCCCAAACACCGTTTCCAAATTTGCAAAAGAAGGATCCGTTCCATTCCAGATTCTCATGGCATAGGCCATCTCGAGGCTGATGAAAGGCAAAGGACATCCTTGAAATGGCTCGAACAAGTTGGCCCAACCCACCACGCCTGGACAGCGAGGGCCAGTTTTGATCAATGTTGATCATCGTACATCTGGACCGTCGCTCCCACAGGCGCTGGGCCGGGGGGCTGCAAAAGCTATAGAAAAGACCACCCCGAGAAAAAGAACACCCTGAAAGGAACACAAGTAAGCAAGCATGGGTTCTACAACCAAACCTGGTCCTTGTTCTATGGTCATCCACTCATGCAATGGTCAATGGTAAGCTTCGTCCGTTCATCATGAACTCCACGGACATCTCTGCTTGTCTCATGGCTTCTTTTGTTCTAGGGCTTACGGGTTCCTCAGCGGAACCACCCGGACTGGCCCACCTGCACCCACTCGGAAGCCGAAAGCTTGCAGGTAGGCATCCACCCCTTGGCTGGTTGTATGCCATTCCAACCCCCTGAGAGGAAGAGGAACAGAATGAACCTGCCACGAACCTTGGCAGTAAGCACCCCCAAAAAATCAAAAGAGATACATAGAAGAGTGATGAAGAGTGATACCTCCCTCGGGCATCTTCAGGCATGCACTATAAAGACTCTTGGATAACCTCTTCATCTTCGTGACTCTATACGCAAATACCGTGCAATTCCTCTTCAATGGACCACTTAGGAATCCACAAGTTCACGCTGTTCTCATGTCCCAAGCCAAGACTTCAATGCGAAAGGGCTGGCCATTGGCTTGGACGAAACTATTGCTTCACTACAGGTCCATGCGCTTCTGCCATTTGGTGAAATCTTGGAGCTGCGGGATCCGAAAGAGAAAAGCAAGATCAAGCAAGCTTCGCTCGATGTTCTCCAGAAGCCTCCCACCCAAAGAAGACCCGGAAGATCCTGTTGAAGGATCCAAGAAGACCTGGAATTGCAGCTTGTATAAACATCTGGGCAATTATATATAAAAACAATATAAAACACAATCTTCACCATACATTTCTGTGAAGGAAAACCAAACCTTGGCACCTGATCTGAGACACCGAGAGACCCCATTGAGATAGGTGTTGACTTCAGCAAAGCCCGGTTCCCGGCCGCAATAGAAATCTTCCACCGCTGCATCAGTGGGATAGAGGGTCAGGGCCAAAGCCAGTGCGCGTCCGTGAGGGAAGGAGCGCATGAGAGCCAAATCTTGCGGGAGAAATGTTCGACGGTGATGTAAGCCAGCTTGTTTCACGCGGAGCCTTGTGAGGTTAATGAACGTTTGGGTCCTTCAGACACTCCAAACGTCACCTTTTTGTCCCGACCCATCACCGGCTCTCGTCCGCTCCCCGCGTTTCACGGCCTCCTGCTTCTCACGTTCGATGCGCTCCTTGTTGAGCAGTGCAGCTTGCAGCTGGAGGTTCCTGAGTCTCGTGGAGTCGACTGGTCGACCAAAGCTGCGGTCCAAAGGTTGGTGGTCCAAGGAGGAATATACCAGCTTTTTGTGTGCATGGCCGTGACTATCCGTGACTAGTGGTCCAAGGAGCTGATCTTCAAACTTCTCTTCATACTCCTCCTGCAGTGCTGCCAGCTTGCTCGCGGCCACGCTACCTGATGTTCACACCGTGCGAGGCCGGGTCTTCTTGAGGGGATGGCAGCTGTGTTTTTCATTCGTGGTGGTGACTTCAATGGTGGGTGCCCTTGAGGACCTCCAGCCTGTGTGACGTGACCAAGGGAGAGTTATAGTATTCGACCATCTTGAAGTCTCAAACTCCCTCCCCTTCATGTCCGACGGAAAAAACCTCCCAAGTCCAATGTGCGAGCTGATTTTTCAGCTAAAAGCGCAGGTCCGTGCACGTCGTCCTTTGAGGTCGCAGCTCCCTATGTGGCGCTGGACTCACTGTTGGAGCCCCTGTGCACGATAAACGCAGGTGAGTGGGGAAGAAACGTTGCTTTCCACATCTCTTCACCATCTCCTTCCCATGGCCTCTCCATGGCTGAAGAGACAGCCGTAGCGGAAACATTTTAAATTTGCTGGGGGCACTTTGGCATTGGTTTCCAAGGATGGTTCTGGACCACTTGTTCTGACTTTGGGCTTCCCAGAATTGAAGTTTTAGCAACTTTCCATAACTTTCCCATGGCTCAAATCCATGCTTGGCTCGCACTTGCGAGAATTGCACGGTCAGAACCGATTTCAAGCGCGGGCAGTCAAAAGAGGAAGCGCGAGGCCGTCCTGCGCTCGATTGATCAGCATGGACTAGCTGACTAGCGAGCCCCAGAGTGCTGTAAGGAAACTGTAGAGGAAAACGGTTTTGACCTCGAAACAAACAGGTTTTGTGAGAGGATTTGTTCGAGATTGGTAAGCAAATGACGAGTCAAAACGCTGTGTTGCCTCCTTGTTTCAAGCGCTGTGAGTCCTACCTGCGCCACTAGCCCCTGGGCTGCACCTGATTTCCGGAAGGTGCTTGATAAACTGATGTAACTCGAAAACCATGGACCTTGAAGCCGGTTGGGTTTCTCCACGAGTCTTTCCCGGTTTCCCCATTTCACACACCAGTCTTTCTGGGTCCCATCTGGTCCTCCTCCTCTGCCAGCTCATCCTCTGCTTCCAACCACCAGTCCTCAGGATCCATCGTGGCCCAAGACTCCACCGTCGCCGTCTCCGCCCGATGTCGCGCTCGACCGAAGCCGATGCGCTGCTGCTCGGCATCGTAGACGGTGTAGAACTTCTGGAGCACCTCAGGTCCCACCGAGTTCCGTTTTCGCGTTTCGCGCCGATGGGTCACCGGTGCAAGCTGCTTGACGTCTGTCCCGCTCTGCATATGGATGGACCTTGACCAAATACCAAACTCATCGACTCTGGAACAGGACGACTTTGCCTTGTTTGAAAAAAATTGACCAGAAAACTCTGCAGTTCTGGGAAGTTCCAGGACTTGGAGCAATTCTGTTTCAGAACCATGCCAACCTGACTATCTGATGCCAAAGAGTCAGAAAGGACCAGAAAAACAAGGCACTCTAGCAAGCCTAACGCAAGGAATGCAACCCTGCTCTAGTGGGGTTTGCCGAACCAGGTCGATCAAACAATGCGAAACACAAGGCACGGGCTCGCCAAGGATGAAGAGCTTGGGCCCAAAAAGCTTGGGCAAGTCCATCACCATAAGCATAGGCTTGCACGTGCCGCGAGCGAATTCCAGTGCGCTCTGCGGATTCCAAGTAGGTCTGGGCTTGCGACGCGGCGTCTCATCCAAGCGGCTGAAGTCTTCTCCTTGGACGTCCGTGTTGGCACTGGCCAGTCGACACTGAGATCGATGACATGGGTTGCGCGGTGCAGCAAGCCCAACTCGGAAGGGAAGCAAAACTGGCGCCCAGCAACTTCATGGCATGGCCCAAAATAAAAGCCCCAAGCTCAAATGTGAGCAGTTTTTTCCCCACCTGTCAGGTGAGGGTTGTTAGAATTTATGTCAGCCCCAACTCCTTCCTTTCTCCTTCTTCTCCTCCTGGTCCTCCTCCGCCGGACCTCAACCACGACCATCCGCGCCCAGTGTCCCCTGCCGGACCCCAGCCACAACCATCCGCGCCCAGTGTTCCCTGCCGGACCTCAACCACGATCATCC